AAACTGCTGGATATCCACATACGAAAGAATGAAGTTAGACTTCTACTTCACACCATACAAAAAATTAAATCCAAATGGACCATAGATCTAAAATATAAGAGCTAAAACTACAAAACTCCTAGAATAATAATAGGAGTAAATCTTCGTCACATTGGATTAGGTGATAGCTTCTTAGACAGAATACCAAAAGTATGAGCAACAAAAGAAAACATACATAAATTGAACTTCATCAAAATTTAAAAATTTTGTGCTCCAAAGGACACCATCAAGAAGACAACCCAGGCCAGGCGCGGTGGGTCACTCCTGTAATCCCAGCACTTCGGGAGGCCGAGGTGGGCAGATGACATGAGGTCAGGTGGTCAGGAGTTTGAGACCAGCCTGGCCAACATGGTGAAACCCTATCTCTACTAAAAATACAAAAATTAGCAGGGCGTGGTGGCAGATGCCTGTAATCCCAGCTACTCTGGAGGCTGAGGCATGAGATTGCTTAAACCCGGGAGGCGGAGGTTGGGTGAGCCGAGACTATGCCAGTGCACTCCAGCCTGGGTGACAGAACGAGACTCCATCTCAAAAAAAAAAAAAAAAGACAACCTATAGAAAATATCAAAGTGACCAGTAGCTCATTAAAAAAAAAGAGAAAGAGAAAATATTTGCAAATTATCTATCTGATAAGGGACTAATATTTGGAATACATGAACATCAACAATATAAAGTGGGCAAAGGATTTGAATAAACATTTCTCCAAAGAAGATATACACATAACCAAGAAACACAGAAAAGCTGCTCAACATCATTAGTCATTAGAGAAACACAAATCAAAACTACAATGAGATGCCACTTCACATCAACTAGAATGACTAAAATAAAAAAGACAAAATAATAAATGTCGAGGAAGATGTGGAAAAATTGGGACTCTCATAACACTGGTGATGGTAATTTAAATTGTGCAGCCACTTGGAACAGAGGGTTGCCATATGACCAAGAAACGTTACTCATAGGTATATACCCAAAAGAAGTGAAAACATATGCCCACATTAAAAGTTATACATGAATATTCATAGCAGCATTATTCATAACAGCCAAAAAGTGGAAACAATGCAAAAGTTCATCCGCTGATAAATGAGGAAGCAAAATGTGATATATTCATACAATGGGATATTATTCACCTATAAAAATACTGGTACATATACCAGTACCAGTACCAATACATAGTACCAGTATTTATTTCATCCAACACTGAAAATATGCTAAGTGAAAGAAGCCAGACACAAAAGGCCATGTCGTATGATTCCATTTACATGAAATGTCAATAATAGGCAAATCCGTACAAATGGAAGTTAGATTATCCCCCTCGGTTGCCTAAGTCTGGTGGGATTGAGGAGAAAGGGGAGAATGGCTAATGAGTTTGGAGTTTCTTTTTAGGTAATGAAATGTTCTATGATAAGATGGTGGTGATGTTTATACAACTCTGTGACTAAAAACCATTGAATCATATACTTTCTTTTTTTTCTTTTTTCTTTTTTTTTTTTGAGACAGAGCTTCATTCTTGTTGCTTAGGCTGGAGGGCAATGGCACGATCTGGGCTCACGGCAACCTTCGCCTCCTGGGTTCAAGCGATTCTCCCACCTCAGTCTCCAGAGTAGCTGGGATGTACCACCACAGTACAGGCATGTACCACCACACCCAGCTAATTTTGTATTTTTAGTAGAGACGGGGTTTCTCCATGTTGGTCAGGCTGGTCTCGAACGCCCAACCTCAGGTGATCCGCCCGCCTTGGTCTCCCACAATGCTGGGATAACAGGTGTGAACCACTGTGCCTGGCCGAATTGTATACTTCTAAAAGATGACTTTTATCATATGTGAATTATATCTAAATTGAGCTGTTAATAATAATAACAAAAGGCTTGGATTAAAGCTATGGAAGAAGGGATGAGAGATTCCCAAGGGGACGCTTTTGAGAAACTTTAGCAGGTAGTCAGCTGGAGGACCTGGTGATGGATTATTTAAAGAAAGTGAGAAGTCAAAGGTGACTCCTAGTTTCTGGAAGAGAGAGAGTAGAAGAATAGAAAGGAGAATGAGATGAAAGAGATACCAAGGCACCATGGTTCCCCACGCCATCATGAGAAGAAATGGAAGATGCCAATGAAAGAAAAGAGGGAAGAGTTTCATTTTGCTCAATGGTTAACAACTGTTATGAATCACAGCCTGGTAGATGCAGGTCTCTCATCCAGTGAGCTCGATTGGGAAGGCAAAAATCCCTAGAAGACTTAGAAACTAAGTAAGCCCCGGGCATCTGCAAGTAATCTTTGAAAATCTTTAGAATGTGGGCTTTGTGTATTCCTGCCTTCTTGTCCTGCAGATGAGGAAACATCTTTTAAAGAATGTTGGGTTACTTTCCAGATGTTATATACCAGAGGAGACTAGAATTCAGGTCTCCTTACTAAACTGCATTATTTACTATAATACCTTCATAAATAAACAATTAGACTTAGCCCTATTCTTTATTTTTTTGAGACAAAGTCTCACCCTGTCACCCAGGCTGAAGTACAGTGGCGCAATCCTGGCTCATTGCAACCCCCGCTTCCTGGGTTCAAGCGATTCTCCTGTCTCAGCCTCCTGAGTAGCTGGGATTACTGGCGTGCACCACAGTCAGCTAATTTTTGTATGTTTAGTAGAGATGGGGTTTCACCATGTTGGCCAGGCTGGTCTCAAACTCCTGACCTCAGGTGATCTGCCTCCTTTGGCCTCCCAAAGTGCTGGGATTACAGGTGTGAGCCACCACGCTCAGCCTGACTCTGCCCTGTTTTTTAGACATTTGTCAGAACACATCCCAATACATGCAGTTATGTGTTTGCCCACTGTAGACCTTCCGAGTAGAAGGTCTGTAGACTATGCATCGGAATCCATTGACCATAAAAACAATAAATGCTTAGATTGCTTTTCTATGATGTCCCTCAACAGTGAGGCTCCAGCATTTCCAGGTGGCCTCTTTCATGCCTAGTCAAGAACATAAAGACTTACAATTCACCTGGCCCTACTGATGAGAGGATGTTGGGGACACCCTCTTCCTCAAAGGCTCTATGAGTAGGAGATAAGGAAGGGCACTTCCAAGTCATTTTGCCAGAAAGCTCAGAGAGAATAGGGGCAAGAAAGTATCTGAGGTTTGGCCAAGCCTGCAGACTTGGGTCATCTGGGGATTGGGGAAGTCTTTCCCCTTTCTGGAACCCAACAACATGATCCCAAGACCACCACCAGGTGTATACTCGGGGTTTCAGTCCTGAATGCCGGAAAATACAAAAGTATAGAGTAACATTAAATGAGTTTTTATCTTTTATTTACCTCCATTTAATAAACCTTGAATGGCTCTGTTTCCTGTCTTTGATTGTCCTGTCTGCATATTTCCTGCTGAGAGTTTACAAAACAGCACTCTTGAACAGGAAGATAAGAAGTGTGCCTATTTGTCGAATAACATCAAGGGAGAAAACTGCTAACTCATCTATTTTGTTAAGTTGTTCAAAAGGATCAAAATACCAATTAACTTGCTGGCTCAGAAATCTTTGATATCCTCAGATTTACTGGCATTTTGAAACTCCTGTTCATACTTGCCTAATGACTTTCTGATTATGAACAAAGAAGTGCCAATCTGTTCAGCATTTGACCTGTTTTCTTAAATATTTTTATGTATTCAAACATTGTTACAAAAAATACTTGACTAGTCAAATTCATGCGCTAAATTTTTTTTTCTTGTTTCACCTCCAAATTTAAGAGGAAAAATGAAGCTCAAAAACACTTTAAAAAAAAAAAAAAAAGCCATTTTGTTCTTATTTTAATTTAAAAGCTCTCATTGCAAGGAAATTTCTTTTTTTTTTTTTTTTTTTTGCCTTATCTTTTCCATGGAATTTAGCAGAGTTTGGGAGACTTGATAAAGCAAGCTACCTTATTTAGGACCCATCCTCTCCTGAGAAAAAGTTGGAAAAAATGACCTTGGGCACATGTTTCAGAGTGGAGGTAAAAAGACACTAACTGATGGCTTAAGGAGTGAGGCAGATTCTACAATGTATTTTTTTTTTCTTGATTGCCTTGTCTTTGTCAGGCATACAATGGATTTCAATATTCCTCTCCAGGCATCCTCAGACAGCAGTGCTTCTCAGAGGTGTTTTTTTGTTGTTGTTGTTATTGTTTTCCTTATTTCTTCACAGAAAATTCTACTTGTAATCACATTCATACATAATGTCTATGGCAGTTGTTCAGAAAAGAGTAACATTTCATTCTTAGACAAAGGCACTTCTGGGTTAAGAAAGTGCCATGCAATTAATTTCAATAAATATTGATTGAAATAAACTGAACTGAAGAGATTAAAAGCATGGATACTGAAACCAGACTGCCTGGGTTCAAATCCTGGCTCTACATTGACCAGCATGAGACCATGGGAAAATCACTTACTTTCTTTTGATACCCAAGTTTTCTCACCTTTACATTTTGTAAAATGGGGATAATAATAGAGTCTAGCTTATAGGGTTGTTCTATGGATCAAATGAGATAATACATTTTAAATAGTGCCCTAAAATGTCCTGTACTCTTAGGATACTTTAGGTGCTATATAAGTGTTAATTATTATATTATATCATGCCAGAACCTAGAAGAAGAACTGGTGCTTGGGTGCATTCCAATCCACCAGAATCTGGGCCCACTTATGGAGGGATACTTTCATCATAACAACAAAATACCTGGAGAACTTGAGACCTAAGGATTTATAACATATAAATGTATATGGACATTTAAAATAATGTGATCAGAAGGAAGCTTAACGTGACTGCTGGATCACTGCAGTTTAGTTGAAGCACAATAAAAGTTCAACATTCAAAGAACTAAATGGTAGCTGGCAGCTAGCCAATTACATATTTGGAGGAGAGTGGGCAGGAGGAACAATCTTAGGACACAGGGATGGCCAGAGTAGAGCTACATTTACAAGAATGCATTCCCAAAGGTGATGGTCTGACCTTTTCACAAATTCTTCAAAGAGGATGCGGTGGGAATAGCCCTGGCGGCGGATGCTGACTGTCTCCAGAATCCCTGTGGAGCGGAGCTGGGCCAGCACCCTCTCTCGAGAGAACTGCAGGGCCTCTCGGTCATCATTGGGTTTAATGCAGCGCACAAAGTGGGGCTGTCCAACCACCATTTTGGAGAGCAGGTCCATCAGAGAATACTACCAGGGAGAAAAATGCACAAGGAACGAGGTTACCACCAATGCAATGGATAATTACAACACGGGCCTGCAGAAGCCTCTAGAGCAGTTTGAGGCTCACAGACCTTTGCGAGGCAGAACATGAAGTCAGCAATAGGAGAAAATAATATAAGTCCTACTTATAGCCATCTGCAGATTCAAAAACATTCTTTAAACATCACCTAGTGCCAAGCAATATCCCGTATGGCAGCAACTTAGCTAAGAACATGCTCTAGGCTATCCTGTAATTCCATTGCCAGAGCTAGAATGCTTGTCGCCGGTATTCCCAGGTGACGTTCCACAATCTGTATCTGTAATTTAAAATGTCCAGCGTTTGAGGAAGGGGCAAATTGCTTCTTCAGCCTAAGATCCACCAGATAGTCTAAGCAAATCCTACTGATACGATTGGTAATAAGGTAGTGGGACAGAAAAGAAAAATACAAAAACAAGGCAAAGAAAATAAGAGAAGTATTCAAAATGAAGATTATGGTGACTATCAACTAACATATACCAAGCAGCTGGTACAGGGTTCTCACAGCAAGAGGGGAGGAAGGACATGGAAAATCAGAGGGGCGCTTGTGAAGGGGGCGGCCTCAGTTGTTTCTGAGGGGCATCCACTGCTGGAGCTCTTCTGGGCACACCTTCAGGGGCTATTATAAGCCAAGGGAAATCAGTTCCATTATTTCATAGTCACTGCTCCTACAGATCAAAATTGGTGTTACCTAGCTTACCAAGGTAACTTGTTTTTCAGGGTTAGCATTTGTGAACTGGTATTTTGAGAACACCAAACTGGTTATTATGGGTATATTTCTGAAAAACCATAAGCCAGAGACTTTTCTGCTGATAGGGGGGCCCTAAGATCTTGAGAATCATTTCACAGAGTAAATAGAGCCACTAAATCCAGTGGGAAAATACACACAGACACCAAGGGTTACCAGGAGGATGATACGGTTTGGATGTGTGTTTCCTCCAAATCTCATGTTGAAATGTGACCTCCAATGTTGGAGATGGGCCCAGTGGGAGGTGTTTGGGTCATGCGGGCAGATGCCTCATGAGTGGGAGGTGTTTGGGTTATGGGGGCAGATTCTTCATGAATGGCTTGGTGCTGTCCTCATGGCAATGAGTGAGTTCTTACTCTATTAGTTGATGCAAAATCTGGTTGTTTAAAAGAGTATGGGATCCCCCCCCCTCTGTTTTGGTCCCTCTCCATTCCTCTCTCTCTTGCCATGTAACATGCCTGCTCCATGAGTAAAACCTCACCAGAAGCCAAGCAGATGCTGGCACCACACTTGTACAGCCTGAAGAATCATGAGCCAAATAAACCTCTTTTCTTTATAAATTATCCAGTCTCAGCTGGGCGTGGTGGCTCATGCCTGTAATCCTAGCACTTTGGGAGGCTGATGTGGGTGGATCACCTAAGGTTAGGAGTTGAAGACCAGCCTGGCCAACGTGGCAAAACCCTGTCTCTAATAAAAACACAAAAAAATTTTGCTAGGTTTAGTGGTACGTGCCTGTAGTCCCAGCTATATGGGAGGCTGTGGCAGGAGAATCACTTGAACCTGGGAGGTGGAGGTTGCAGTGAGCCAAGACTGCGCCACTGCACTCCAGCCTGGGCAATAGAGTGAGACTCTGTCTCAAAAAATATGTATATATTATCCAGTGTCAGGTATTCCTTCATAGCAACATAAAATGAACTAACAGAATAAGATAGAGCCACTAAAGGGGATAGGAACAGGTATGTCTCAATGTAAGAAATAAGTAGCAATTAGAAATAACCAAACATCAGAATGATGAGGCAGGGGCCCACCTGCCACAGATGCTATAGCATGACTCACTGCATGGATGGAGTATGGGATTCAAAGGTCTGGGGCCCCTGCAAATCATACCCTGAGCCCAATTCTAGCCTGCCTCTGAAGCACAGTTGGCTAGGCTGGACTTCTGCACTTTAGATTCTTGCACCTGCTAGCTTTCCATGGAGCCTTCTATCCAGAGTGCCGGCTCCCAAGTCCTGCCCTTCAGCCTGCCTGGCTCTTCCGGCTTCCCATCCACCTGACCTCTCATCCCTGCCAAGCCCTTTCCTCTGCCAACCCCACCTTACTACCTCATTCCGCTGCCCCTGAGATCAGCTCTATATTTGATCTAACAGCATTTCTTTTTTTTTCTTTTTGCGACGGAGTCTCACTCTGTCACCCACGCTGGAGTGCAATGGTGCAATCTCGGCTCACTGCAACCTCTACCTCCCAGGTTCAAGCAATTCTCCTGCCTCAGCCTCCCAAGTAGCTGGAATTACAGGCATCTGCCACCACACCTGACTAATTTTCGCATTTTTAGTAGAGATGGAGTTTCACCATGTTGGCCAGGTTGGTCTCAAACTCTTGACCTCGGGTGATTCGCCTGCCTCAGCCTCCCAAAGTGCTGGGATTACAGGTGTGAGTCACTGTGCTTGGCCTAACAGCATTTCTACTGTGAAACTATCTGGATCTCAGCTTCCAGTGGTACGTGATCTCTAAAGGCCTTCCAACTCTAATGCTTTATAATTTGAAGACAAACAAATCTGTGCAAATTGCTGCAAGATTCTATGCGTCTTGTCTTTGCTATATAATGTGTATTTAACAGAGCCCTTCTAGAGACCATATTTTTACCCAAAGGAGTCATTTAACTAGATGAAGTATCAGAAATAGGGATGGCAGAAATGGGAAATAATAGGGCTCAGACAAGTATATTTTACAATGGGTCAATTTAATCTAGGAAAATAAAATCAATGCTAAGACAGATTCTCTTAGTATCTGAACTTCATAAGCCAACTTCTGGAACTTTATTAACTACTTTACTATTCAGTATGCTAGAAAAGTGGCTGCCTCCAGTAACTTTAAGACCAAGAAGCAGCTTGAATGCTGACAGAATCAGTCATTTAATGGGCAGGAGGATTGTGTGCCCATTGCTCTCTTCCCGCCCTGCTTCCACCACTTCCCCAACCCGATGTTTCTTGACTCTGTGCTTTGCCCTTGTTTCACTGACTCTATCTGGGCATCTCATAAGAAGGCTTGGATAGTCCTTTTTGGAAGTAGGCAGAATACAGATCAAGAAGACTCCATACCCGGAAGTAAGAAGCCACGGTTTGCCTCTTCATGTTGGTGGTTTCTTCTGGATGCCGTATCACCTCCAGAGTGTCCACCTGGAAGCAAGATGGAGGCAAGTGGTTTGGGGATCCAGGCACTTACCTCATGCTCCATGTCTTCCAAAATCTGAAAGCCTGTTTGGCCGAATATCTGAGGGGCCATGGTATTTAGTACACAATAGTGTCCTACTGTGGGGAGAATTTTTCAAAACATAGAAACAAAGAATATGCATTGTTCTACTCATTTGACAATACCTCACTCTGTAAAATACCATATGGTCTCAGTGTAAACCTCTGTTATTTTGATACTTCTCCATCTTCTAATGAACCCCTGTTAAATTCTCTAGTAAGGTCACATGAGACCAAACGACTGCCTACAAGGAAACTTGGCAAAGGGCCATGAGGCCAAATGATTATAAAGACATGATGGTCCCAAAGGCCAGGTTGTACCACAGGGAATTAGGCCAGCACCAGTTGCTTTCCATGTCATCAGACTGTGATGCTGCAACACTCCTCCTACCTCCCACAGTTCCCATGTGCTCACTGCAGATAGGAGCTCAGGCACCAAATCACTCGGAAACCCAATGGAATGAACCTGTTCTCAATATCTATCCCAACTACCTGGGCTGACTGGAAGGAATTTATTGATGAAAACAATTGTAGGGACCGACTGCAAGCAGCCTGCGTTCCATTATTATAATACAACGACAAAAACTCTGCTTTCGTTTGCAGAGTGCATGAGTGGCATTTAGCACTGGCCTTGCTGTGGCAGCTTCCCATCTGCTCTGAACAGGTGGCAAGGGTATAAAGCAGAAATGTTTGAAATGGAAGACACTGCTGTCAGCATGTGGGTTAGGCGGGGTGGACTGCCATCCAGGCAGCCACCTTCCCATGGGATAAGGATGTCTGCAGGCTTGTTCAATGAAAGTGAAAAATTGGTGCTAAAAGGGATGGGAGTTAGGAGGGGTGAATAAAGAGGCTCACCTAAAGGAGTATGTGGGAGACTGTGTGTAAAATGGAAGGAAATGCTTCAATTGGGATGGGTCAAGAAAATAGGTTTATTTAAGAAGGAGAGAAAACATGGTGCTAAGTTTTCAAAACCTAGAAAAGCAACCTAAACAGTGAGCAGGTCTATGACCTGAGTGAAGACATCAACCTCAACAGTGAGCAGGTCTATGACCTGAGTGAAGACATTAGCCTAAACAGTGAGCAGGTCTATGACCTGAGTGAAGACATCAGAGACAGTGCAGCTTTATTTTAATGGGCTGCACAGCAGATGCCATCAGTCCATTCACATGCAGCTGAAACAATGATACAACTGCCTGTAGGTTTGACATTTTAATTTTTTCTTTTTCTTTCTTTTTTTTTTTTTTTTTTGTGAGACGGAGTCTTGCTCTGTTGCCCAGGCTGGAGTGCAGTGGTGGGATCTCTGCTCACCGCAACCTCGCCTCCCAGGTTCACGCCATTCTCCTGCCTCAGCCTCCTGAGTAGCTTGGGACTACAGGCACCTGCCACAGCACCCAGTTAATTTTTTGTATTTTTAGTATAGACGGGGTTTCACCATGTTAGCCAGGATGGTCTTGATCTCCTGACCTTGTGATCCACCCGCCTTGGTCTCAAACTCCCATCCTCAGGTGATCCACCTGCCTCGGCCTCCCAAAGTGCTGGGATTGCAGGAGTGAGCCACCTCGCCCGGCCTCGACACTTCTTTTTATTAAGAGATCCTCCCTGAAGAAGCACCTCTAGCTTTGAACCTGCTTTTCCTCCTTCATTTCCCTCCCTTTTTATTCAAATTAACTAGTGAGCACCAGGCCCCCCAGGCAGCTGAAAAGCTCATTTATATTTTTCTACTGGTAGATGTTTATGGATTGACTTATTACCCTCCCTCAGAACTTATAACATTTGAGAATTTAACAGTTTAGTGACCAAAAAATCCTTGATGTGTATTAATTCAGCTGAAACACAATTTAAAAGGAATACTCTTGTAAGAAAATTTCACATGTATCCCATAATCTGCACAAATAAAATATAAATAAATCAAAGGAATAATCTGTATTGTTTTCAAGATCAGCACCGGTTCCCTCTAGCAAATTGGAAAAATGCAGAGTTAAGCACCAATTTGTACTCCAAAAGTTATAAGGCTACATGGTCAGAAGGTAGCTCCCAGCTAGTGACAGCCCCGTCTAACTGCACAGCATCTGTGTTTCAACAGAACTTTAAATTCTGTCCTTGCAATCACATACAGAGTGATGTTTGGAAATAAAGTAAAAACCTATTCTTTGATATATACAACCTGGAAATGCTAATGCTTATCTGTAATTCACCACCTACATACTTAGTACTGTGTTTGACAGAATAGGTGATATGTAATTGGGGTATTTTCTAATTTAAGAATTTAGAAAGGTCTTTGGTTGTCGAGGGATCTCTTGTATATTTGCATAGTCATAAGGTTCTCCTGAACTTGGAATGGATCTAAAAGAGAGAATTTCCGACAAGGAATAAACCAGAAGTTGCTTCTCTCAACCCTTTAAACTAGACCTCTCTCTAAATCAGGCCTCCCGTGGAACTCCAAAGCCAGCCCCTAAAGTCCAAACCAAAAGGGCTGAGAAGGCTGTTGTGTAGCCTAAGAGATTTTCTTCCTGAGCTAATTTCATTAATACAATAGTAGTAGCATCATTTAATTTTTTAACCAAAAATGCTTTTAGAAACAATCTGGAAAGTGGGTTCTATTAGGGCATCATCTAGCAAATAGTTCTTCCCCAAAGTGGGGATTTAACAAAGAAGAAATCCTCTCCAAAGTATTTATGTTTTTACCTTAGGAGAAAAAAAGAGACCAGAAAAGCTTTCCTAGGCTGAGTGATTGCTATTGACACACCTGGTTGAAATTCTTGCTAGCTGTGTGGCCATGCACCTGTTATACTCATGTGCCATAGAAGTAGGACATTTCAGTCAATGGTAAACTGTATATGCTACAGTAGTACCATAGATTATAATGGAGCTGAAAAATTCCCATTGCCTAGTAATGTTGTAGACATCATAATGTCATAGTGCACTTCATTTCTCATGTGTTTGTGGTGATTTGGTGTAAACAAACCTGTGCTGCCAATTATATCAAAGCAGAGCATGTACAACAATGTACAGTACACTGGATAATAATAAACAACTATGTTACTGGTTTACATATTTACAATACCAGTAATCATTGTTTTAGCCAGGTGTGGTGGGGTTCATGCCTGTAATCCCAGAACTTTGGGAGGCTGAGGTGGGCGGACCACTTGAGGTCAGGAGTTCGAGACCAGTCTGACCAATGAAGTGAAACCCTATCTCTACTTAAATATAAAAATTAGCCAGGCATGGTAGTGGGCACCTGTAGTCCTAGCTATTCAGGAGGCTGAGGCAGGATAACTACTTGAACCCAGGAGGCGGAGGTTGTAGTGAGCTGCGATCATGCCACTGTACTCCAGCCTGGACGACAGAGCGAGATTCTGTCTCAAAAAAAAAAAAAAAAAAAAAAAAAATTATTATTTTAGGGTGTACTCCATCTACTTACATTAAAAACAAAACAAAAAATGTTAACCATGGAACAGCCTCAGGCAGGTCCTTTAGGAGGTATTCAAGAAGAAGGCATTGCTATCATAGGAGATGATGACACTATGCGTGTTATTGCCCTAAAGACTTTCCAGTTCGACAAGATGTGGAGTTAGTAGAAGAAAGTGATATTGATGATCCTGACCGTGTGTAGGCCTAGGCTAACGTATGTGTTTGTGTCTTTGTTTTTCACAAAAAAAGTTTTAAAAGTAAAAGTAAAAAAGTTTTAAATAGAAGTTTATAGAATAAAGATATAAAGAAAGATTTTTGTACAGTTGTACAATGTGTTTGTGTTTTAAGCTAAGTGTTATTATAAAAAAAGAGTGAAAAATTCTTTTAGACAGACTTGTACCAAACCATTCTTTGTTTTGCAGGCTTTTTAAGTTCATAAAATAAAAAAGTTAAACTAAGGTTAATTTATTATTGAAGAAAATGCATTTTAAAATAAATTTAGTATAGCCTAAGTGTATGTTACTTATAAAGTCTACAGGAGTGTACACTAATGTCTCAGGCCTTCATATTCACTCGCCACATACTCACTGACTCACCCAGAGTGACTTCCAGTCCTGTAAGCTCCATTCATGGTAAGTGCACTACGCAGGTGTGCCATTTTTAATCCTTTGTACCACATTTTTACTGTACCTTTTCTATGTTTAGATACAAAAATACTTACCACTGTGTTATACTGCGTACAGTATTCAGTACAGCAACCTGCTGCACAGGTTTGTAGTCTTGGAGTGATAGGCTATAGCTTATAGCCTAGGCGCATAGTAAGCTATGCCATCTACGTTTGTGTAAGCACACTCTATGACTGAACGACGACAAAAAATCACCTAATGATGTAGTCCTCAGAATATATCACCATTATTAAGTGACTGATGACTGTATTTAACTTTTAAAAGCCTCTGTTTTCCTCATTAATAAAATTGGTTAGTCAAAATTGCTGCCTTGCACACATATAACAAATAACATTAGTTCTCCTTCCATCATTACCGTGATTGATTTAGTTTCAGTGTAGTGATAAATATCAAGGATGCAAAGTGCGTTCAGTGGCAGAAGGAGAGTTCTGCTACCACACAACTCAGCAAGGAGATCTTTATATTTATTGGTAAGAAAAATAGTTCCAATGAAACTGTTGGGGAATAGAAACACATACCCCAAAATATGGTACTTTGACATGTTGAACTAAAGAAGAGTCAAGGTCTCTCTGATACCCCCAACTCCCATCTCTTAATCCTCTGTCTCTCCCATAGCCCAGGATGAAGCTGTTCTCTAAATTCCTTTATCTGCCTAAAGTCTAGAGCCACCAAAGAAAACAATTATCTGTGATCCCTTCCCTGAGTTTTTCATTAACTAAACTCATATCACAGGAAGAAAGGCTGCAGTCTGTCAACACAACTGAACAGACTTGTCCCAAACCATTGTTTGTTTTGCAGACCTAACAGACTTTGTCCCAGGCCATTGTATGT